TATTATGAAAGAAAAAGGAAAGGAAAGAGAGAGAGAGAGCGAAAAAGAGAGACAGACAGAGGGAGAGAGAGACAGAGAGAGAAAGAACTCTCATTCGCCGAATACATATCTGTTCTGACTTCCAATCCTCTAATGTTGAGTTCATTTAAACCCAAAAGAAGTCGGGGATGGTGGTGGGGGGGGGGGGGGGGGGGGGGGGGGGAGAGAAGACAATTTGCAGACCAACGCAGCATCATGTTGAGGTTATTAATTGCCCCCCAACACACACACACACACACACACAAACAACAAACACACACACGCTCTCTCCTCTTCCCCCCCCCTTTTCCCTTCCTGAATCTGGTGCAAATCCCCTTTTGTAACCAATACCAAGAAAAGGAAGCGGCTGGAGGGTGTGGGGAAAGGAAAAAGGCTGAAAGGTGGGGCGTCTGTTGCAATTACTCACCATTTGACAAGTTCCCATTTCGTTTCGCCCGCCTGCTTCTTGCTTGCCATCAATGCAGAGGGAGTTCTCTTGCTTCTTCGCTGCAGTGCCAGCCTCTACACACACCTAACCAGCTACTGTGAGTGAGCCCCCACCGCAACACTGGCTGACTGTCCATCAGATACCTACCTACACGTCTGGGGGGAGTCTCTGCTACTCCCCCACCTCCCACCCTCCAGGTCCTATTACTGGGTGGAAGGAAGGTAGAAGAGGCAACTGGATGGATTTGCAGCAGCTTGACCTTTCCCTCTGACGCTCAGAGAGAGAGAGCGAGAGAGCTGATGCACTCTGTTCATTGCTTGCAGATGGGGAGCCTGGCAAAGCTACTTACTAAGCAAAAAAAAAGCACCGTTCATGCTTTCTAACCATCAGGACTGCAACTGGTGGATTGAGTGACCAAATTATTAATGTTTTGTTTTTTGCTTGAAGGATTATTATCCGGGGTGTGGAGTAAGGAAACTTACCCAAGGTTTCGCCCTGGCCGGGAGTCAAACCCAGGACTCTCGCTTGCGAGGCGAGTGCTTGCGAGGCGATATTAAGCAGCAAAAAGGAGAACATTCAATGAAATAGCAAAATACAGTGGCGTCCTGTTGTAACACGGTAGTTGGGAGAAGTGGGGGGAGTCCATTGAATCCCAACCGGACGTTATAAGTATTTCACTGCAAAGTGTAGTGACTGTGTATTCACAGGCGAACACAATTTTCAGTGTAAACTACTTTTTGTCCACGAGCGATTCAAATGCACGGAAAGTTACACAGCAAGTGTGCATGAGAATCTGCCTTTGCGTATCATGTAACTTCTTAACAACAAAGAGCTCAGTCCGTAATTGGCACTGATGCCTTTTTGCCCATTACAGTTGCGAGCTCCGTGCTCAGTCGATGCGATTAACCTGGTTGAGTGACTCCCGAGCCCTTTACTGGAATCATATTAAAAGAGTAAATGTGGAGTTATAAATGTGTTACAGCGAGTGGCAAAGCATTTAGTCATTGACATGCACAATGGTAAGAGCACTTGACAGAGGATAATGAGAATCGGTTAACTGTTTAAAGTTAGTGATCTGACAGATGAGTTCAAATGATATCTCAATCCATTAACTGGATAATAATAATAACGCTTGCATTTGATATGGCGCCTCATCACATCTTCGAGACGCCTCACAGAATATATTATAAAGTGAATTGGCTGTATATATTTTGAGGGCGAAACGCGGCAGCCAATTGCACACAGCTGCGTCCCACAAACAACAACAACAACAACAACAAGATTACATTTTTGTACAGCGCCTCTCACATCGGGAGGAACGTCCCACAAGCAGTCGTGGATTGAGTGACCAAATTATTTTATTTTTTCGGAAGGTATTGTTAGCCCCGGAAAGCGGGTACAGTGCACGATAGAATGGGTTTGGTAGGTGGATTGTGGAATGAAGGGCCTTGATGGGCTGGAAGGCTTTCCTTATGACCTTTATAGGAAATGAGAAGGTGAAAAGCATTTTACTTTATCTTTCAGTCTCTCTGCAGTGACATTAAGGGCACACCAGATGGGGCTATTATTGCTCTGTCCAGGGTTCTGAATTACCCAAACAGAGTTACTCTACTCTTAAAACTTTCCCTCTCGACTTATTCTTTAAAGATTTATACACATATTTTTTATTTCCCAGTTCATCAAGGCAAGCCGGGTCTTCAGATGGATGATTATTAGATAGTGGGCAAACAACGACACCTTTGGAAACTCACTCGCGTGCTGCGCAAATCCTAGTTGTGCTTTCGGGCAAAAAAAAAGTCTAAATCGTTGGTGCCCCATACCCCCAACGGATCGAGTACAAGTTCCTCGTTCTTGCGTTCAAATCCCTGCACAGTCTTGCCGCCAACCCTACCCCTGTGACCTTCTACCACCCCGGCCGCCCCCTCTATTCAGCTTGCTGTATGTCCCCCAGCTCATGCAAAAGGCACTATATAAATGTATATTTGTGGAGTCCCGTAGCCTAATGGTCAGCCCACTTGTCTCCCAGCAAGCGAGAGGGTCCTGGTTCGATTCCCAGGTGGGGCAAAACCTTAGGCAAATTTCCTTACTCCACATTGCCTCTGTTTACCTAGCAGTAAGTAGAAGCTCGATTATTAGTCGATTGGTGGATCGCTTTCTGACGGTAATAATCCCTCAAACGACGACTGTTTGTGGGACACTGCTGTGCGCAATGGGCTGCCAGGTTTCGCCCATAAAACACACAGTCAATCCACTTTACAATATATTCTGTAAAGGGCTTTGAGACGCCTCAATGACTCGATATGGCGCTACGTCAAATGCAAAGGTTATTATTATTATTATTGTAATAAATGTGGGTGTTGTGAGGACACACTTTCTCTGCTTTTTCTGACCACGACACAGACTGAACCCTCATTACTGAACCTCTCCTTGACTTTCCACACGAATAAAGTCAAAAGAACCAATCACCCCCCCCCCCCCTCCCACCCCCCACCCCACCAAACTCCCCCACATAAAACAGCACCACTGAGCCACTAAGGAAAATGCAGCAGGGATTGAGGATATTGATCTAAATGGTAATCTGCTGCATTTAGAAAAAAATCCAACTAAATATAGATTGTCTGCATTTAAGTAAGCCTGAAATAGCTGGGAGATCAATTCACCAACGCAATTTAATGGCGTCTACTTTTAGAGTCGCTTTTAGAGCTCTGAGCACTCATTAGTTACATCGGATGGAAAGGACACGCATGAAGAGGTACGCAAAAAACTACACCTCACGGTAAATCCTTGGCAATGTCCTCCCGACACGATTGGCACTGTATCAAATGCAATGGTTATTATTATTATTATGTTTAGATCAGCGAGTGTGTGTGTGTGTGTGTGTGGGGGGGGCATACTCTGAGTTGTGTGTGTGTGGGGGGAGAGAGGAGGGGACAGGAGTAGATGGAGAGTGAACATTGTCTGAACTAAAAAATACTGTACAAAAATATTTGAACACTGAGCAGCCTTTAAACCAGGCGACGGCCTGAAAGGAATAATCTTTTACTTGGTCACATCAGTGCTAATGCTAATGCTTTCCCTCCCCCTCTCTCTCTCTCTCTCTCCTTCCCCTCTCCCTTCATCTCTCTCCTCTCGTCCCCATTCCCTTCTCTCCATTTAACTCTCCCCCTCCGCTCCCTATCTTTCTTTCGAAACGCTTTGAGACGTCTTGCAGATGTGATAAGGCGCTATGTCAAGTGCGAGGATTATTATTATTATCTCTCTCCCTCTCTCTTCCCCCTCCTCTAACTCTATTCCCCTCTCTCTCCGGCTCTCTCCCCCATTTCTTCCCCACTCGCTCTCTTCTCTATTTCTCTCACCCCTTCTCTCTCATCATCCCGTCTCTCCCTCCCCTCATCCCTTCTCTCTCTCTCCCCTCATCCCTTCTTTCTCTCTCCCCTCATCCCTTCTCTCTCTCTCCCCTCATCCCTTCTCTCTCTCTCTCCCCTCATCCCTTCTCTCTCTCTCCCCTCATCCCTTCTCTCCCTCCCCTCATTCCTTCTCTCTCTCATCTCTTTCTCCCCTCATTCCCTTTCTCTCCCTCTCCTCATTCCTTGTCTCTCTCTCCCATCACCCCTTCTCTCTCTCTCCCCTCATCTCTCCTCCCCCCATATCTCTCTCTCTCTCATTTATCTTATCCTCTCCTTTCCTCCTTTCTCTCTCCCCTCATCTCTCCTCCCCCCAATTTCTTTCTCTCCCTCCCTCATCTATCTTATCCTCTCGCTCTCTCTCTCTCTCTCCTCCCTTCTCTCTCTCTCCCATCATCTCCCTCCCCCCTCCAATCTCTCTCTCTTCATCCTCTCTCTCTCTCTCTCTCTCCCTATCTGTGTCTATCTCTCTGGGATCTGATCTGTTCTTCCGGTCACATTGCCTTGTGTTTATGCGAGTTGGGGAATCAGCTGTTCGGAGGAACATCCTTCATCTCAGCATCTCATCTCTCCTCTCCTCTCTCTCTCCTCATCTCTCTCTCTCCTCATCTCTCCTCTCCTCTCTCTCTCCTCATCTCTCTCCTCATCTCTCCTCTCCTCACCTCTCTCCTCATCTCTCTCCCCTCTCCTCATCTCTCCTCTCTCTCCTCTCCTCATCTCTCCTCTCCTCTCCTCTCTCTCCTCTCTCCTCTCCTCATCTCTCTCCTCTCTCTCTCTCTCTCCTCATCTCCTCCCTTCTCCTCTCCTCCCCTCTCCTCTCCTCTCTCTCCTCTCCCTCTCCTCTCCTCTCCCTCTCCTCTCCTCTCTCTCCTCTCCCCTCTCCCCCTCTCTCTCTCTCTCTCTCTCTCCTCCCCCTCCCCTCTCTCTCCCCCCTCTCCTCTCCTCTCTGGGCTGTAGACCCTCACCACTGGGGACCAGTCGGGAGCCCTGACCCACTGCGGACTGCAAGTGATGGTTAGTGGGCAAATTAATAACAGAGGCTGTGAAAGTCGAGGGGTGAAATAAATTAACGAGGAGGAGGAGGAGGAGGGGGGAGACACTGAGGTTCCCAGGTCCCACCTTCCCAGGCACTGGAGCCCTCTATTTTTCACACAGGACATCGTTCATCTGTGTCTATGTGGCAGCCCGACCTTGTCCTTGGGATATCTTGTGATCCTGGTCACCCCTTCAAGTCCTTTTCCAGGAGAATTCTTCCTTCAAATCGTATTTTCTTAACCCTTTTCTAAACCCTGTGATCCGTTTGTATAGGTGAGTTACCCCACATACAGTATAGTCTGTAAATGTAGATGGATAGACTGACAGATAGACAGTTGACTGTGTTTTTTTTTGCTGGTTTGCAGAAAATAAGAATATTTCTGTTTAAGATGGTTTCAGATTTATGTTTGCTGACACCATGAGTTTGATTATTTTGGTTGCAATGTGTCTGATCTTTGCTGTTTAGTTTATTTTTGTTCATATTATATATGATAATAATATTCTTATAATACAATGATATTGTTATATATATATATATATAATGCAACATTTGTCTGGTTTAGTAAATATACTGCATCCTACATCCTCTCTCTCTCTCTGGTTGATTTAAATTAAAAGAAACGATGCTCCCCCCCCCTCCCCCCCCAAAAAAAAAATTTTTTTCTCTGATCTGCAGCAGAATATTTATTTAAAAGCTCCTGCGTTACTTTAGTTGAGATGCACCGACCATTGCTTTTTCTTCCCCCCCCCCCACCACCCCCACCTCACCTCCCCTATCTCTCTCCCCCCTCTTTCTCCCCCTCTCACTCTCCCCTCTTTCTCCCCTCTCTCACTCTCCTCTCTTTCTCTCCCTATCACTCTCCCCCCTATCACTCTCCCCCCTCTCTCTCTCCACCCCCTCTCACTCCCCCTTCCATCTCCCCCCCCCCCCTCTCCCCCACTCTCTCCCCCTTTCTCTCCCCCTTCCCCCTCTGAAAGATCCATCATCTGCAAACAGATGCTGGAAGCCTCATAACTGGGGACAAGATGTGGCCAAGTCTATCCTGTACTCCAATACACAGGCACTCGATGCAAATCAATTGCCTTTCTAAACCAGACTGGAGACTTTTAAGTGTCTCTATCTCTCTCTTTCTCTCCCTATTCCTATTCTATTGCCTGAGGAGCATCAGTGGATTGAGAGTTTGTAGCTCTAAATGGTGGGGAGAGAGAAAGGGGTGGGGGGGTGACAAGAGAACAGTTGAAGTACAGTAATATATTTCTCAAAACCAGAGAAGTTTGCTCAACAATAACAATAACCTTACGTTTGATGCAGCGCCTTATCAGGTTGGGAGGAGCGTCTCAAAAGGATTTCACTGTAAAGTGTAGTGACTGTGTTTGTAGGCGGGCCCCACAGCCAGTTTGCGAACCCTTTAAGCAACCGTGAATTGAATCACCAATTTTATTTTTACACAAACCCCCCCCCCCCCACTGGAGGATTGTCAGCCTGGGCCCCGGGGGAGAAAGAAAGTCCCTTCTCCTTTCCGAATAGCGCCTCGGGATCTTTTTGACGCCCGCCTGAACGGGCACAACAGACGGGGGGGGGGGAACTGGGTTTAACGTCCCGTCTGATGGACGGCACCTCCAACGATGAAACGCTTCCGACCATCGGGGTCAGGAGTATCAACTCAGACTGAACTCAAAAGTCCTGCCGTGAGGTCAGAGTGCAAACTGAATCCTCTTAACATTTTTCCATAAAGCCAAGGAGTGATCTTTAAGAGATGAAGCACTGAGTATGGATTCCTCAGAGATGTAGGCATCGGTTTCCTGTTGACTGGATAGCTATTGTATCCCATAAATGTAGCGCAGCACAAATAAACACAATGTACGTGGACTGCAAGAACGCTATCAAAAGAATACAAGTGAACTACATCGAAAGGCACTAGGTTTTCACTGGCAGTTCAAGCGTTATTGATTGGACCACTGAAGGGTGAAGCTCTACAGTCTCCTGAACGGAACTGTTTCTGGGGTTACTTCCCTCCTGGACAATGCGCATGTTCACGTCCAGGGGACCTCTCAAATCGCTTCAAGGGGACTCACCCTAAGGTGTGTGACGACTGTGTATTTTGTACGGCGAACCCAACAGTCAAAATTTGCGCACAGCGACGTCTCACAAACAGCCACGCGGCGAACGATCCAATTTTATTTGGGGAATTGTTGGCCAAGAAACTCTTTTTGAACACTAACCCGTAATTCTACCTCAGAATCCTCTTGTGGATTGCCCACATTTCTGTTTTTTTTTGGCATTTGATATGAATCACTACCATACTGTGGTGTAAAGCGTAGTGACTGTGTACTTCATGCGGGCAAATACGAGCGCTAGGGTGTAGTTATCACCTCTGCACATCTCTTCCCTCTCCAACCCTTACCTCGGGTTCAATGGTTCAAACCAGGCCACAGTCACACAAATCGAATCCCAATCCATCCTGGGTAGAAATTAAAGAGAAAGGAATGTCATCCCATGCAACGAGCACATTGACTGACTGACGTCATCAGTGTATAGTTTAGCACCGTAATAAGATTTTTCCTGGTTTCCCAATCCTGCTGCTGCTCTGTCAAGCAGGAGAGCAAATTAGAGGAACATCCTTAGCAGATACATTGGTTGCGGTGGTGGGGGGGGGGGGGGGGGGGTGGGGTGGAGAGAGGCAAAACACTGCAGATGCTGGAAATCTACAATAAAAACAGAAGTCTCTGGGAACACGCAGCAGGTCAGGCAGCATCTACGCAGAGAGGAAAAATAGTTTAACGTTTCAGGTCTGCTGAAAGGTTATCGACCTGAAATGTTAACTCATTTTCCTCTCTCCATAGATGCTGCCTGACCTGCTGTGGGTTCCCATCGACTTCTGTCCTTACATTGGTTAGGAGGTTGTCATTAGTGTTGTGGGTGGTGGAGGGGGAATGACTTTTGCTGGTAGTAAGAAGCTTTCAGTGGTGGGAAGGGTAGGGGGCAGTAGATAGGGTCTCTCGGTAGTTGATGGGAGGTCACGGTGGTGGTGGGAAGGGGGTGGGCAGACTCTCAGTAGTGAAGGGGAAGCTCTCTGTTGGGGAGGGGGGGGATGTTGGTGTTGGGGGTTCAGTGTCAGTGGGAGGGTGGTTGGGGGGGTGGGTTGGAGTCAGTGGAGTCTGACACCATTTCATTAATACTACTCTCAGGCTTTTAAGTGTTATTTTAAAACAGGAGTGATTGTGAGAATAATAATAATAATAATAATAATTCTTCCATTTGATATGGCGCCTTATCACATCGTTGAGACGTCTCAAAGCGCTTCACAGAATATACTGCAAAGTGGAGTGACTGTGTGTTTTGTGGGCATTGAATGATAGGGATGTTGGCTATGATGGTGCATGAGGTTACCCGAGGCCCTGACTTGTACAACTACTGCTGACACTTTGGGCTCAATCAAATGTTGACTTAAATGGATGTTGCAAATTAAAGATCTATTATATTGTCCAGATTTGAAACACTAGCTAATTGGGGAAGTTATGAACTGCCGCTCTCAGCCCCTGGCTCTTGTCTAAGTCTTGTTTTGCACTCGGGTGCATTTGGCTCAGTCAATCTATCGATCACGTAGACTTTCTACAGCTCGTTGCTGGAGTGAGCATCTTTCCAGTAATGGAAAGAATCTTTTGGCAGAAAAAAGCTTTGCCAGGTCTGGGCAAGTTTTGGCTCTAACCTTCAGAGCTTCCTGCTAGTTTATCACAACGAGCGTGTTTCGCCCACAAGATACACAGTCCACCCACTTTACAACAACAAGTTGCACTTATATAGCGCTTTCCACGCAGGGTAGTGGCGGAGCCTGACTCCGAGCCGAGGGGGTGGGGAGGGTGGGAGGGGTGACCGTAAGCGCGGTCGAAAAGGAAGATTTTCAGGCGGGACTTGAAAAAGGGGAGAGTGGTGGCAAGGTGGAGGGATTGGGGTTGAGAGTTTTGAGTGAATCATAGAATCATAGAATTCTACAGCACAAAAAGAGGCCATTCGGCCCCTCGAGTCTGTGCCGGCTCTTTGAATAGAGCAATTAATGTCAATCCCACTTCCCAGCCCTTTCCCCATAACCCTGCAAACCCGTCCTCCTCAAATACCCGTCCACCGCGTTTTTAAAAGTAGCTGAATGCGCGACCTCCAATGATGGAGCGGAGGGCGCGAGGGTCAAGCAGGAAGCAGGATATATCCTGTGAAGCGCTTTGAGATGTCTCAACGACGTGATAAGATGCTGTATCAAATGCAAGGAATATTATTATTATTATTAGAGCGGAATTGTCTCCAGATACACAGTCGCTATGCTCGACAGAAATTGTGTGGGAAGTGCTAGTGAAACATTTTAGTGTTGTACATTGCAGAGCCAAATGAAAAGATCATTATGAGTGGAACGTGGACACATGATGTAGATGTGAGTCAGAAGGTAGTGGGTTCAAGACACAAGTCAGCGCTTGGAACTCATGTAGTCCAGGCTGACACTCCATTGTTGGATGTACTGACCTTCAAATGAAATGTTAGACCAAGGTCCCAGCTCAGGTGGACCCTTGCACTATTCAGAAAGAGAGGGGAGTTTCCCCTTGTGTATTGGCCAACAGCCCCACAGCACCCCCAGCAAAATGGGTCGTTCACTTCACAGCGATTTGCGTGACATTGCGGTGTGCAAATTGGCTGCCGACAAAATCCGCAGTCACTACACTTGACCGCATATCCTGCGAAACGCTTTGAAATGTCCTTCCGATGAAGGGCGTAAATCAAATGAAAGGATTTACTTGTACGTTGACTCTGATGATCCACTACAGATGCGCACTGTGAGGTTTCTGCCCACAGTGCTCTGAAAGGAGGAGTGAGACAGTTGTCTTGATGGGCCGATGTGGGGAAGTTTCGCCACAGTGAAAGTTGAGATGGGGACACGTGCACACGAGCAATCCGCTGCAGCGACACAAATTGGACTCCGGGTGCTTTGTCTCCTCTCATGTAACAGCCAATGCTTTGCCCTCGCATCAGCCAGCAGCGCTCTACTCTTTCCTCTAATGCTATTCGATATTAACAGGATGATCTCAGCTGCGATAATGCTTTATACCGAGAAAGCTTACCACGTAAAGTCAGCAGGTAGGCAGAAATCAACACATGACCACTGATGCACATAGTGCTGAATATGTCCATGGCGTAAGATACAGAGCATTAGGACTTAGTGTCCCGTTGCTGTCCGCTTTGCTCACAGATTACACAGTCGTTACGCTTTACAGTGAATCATGTGAAGCGCTTTCAGACGCTCTTCTGATGTGAAAGGTTTTGTATCAGATACAAGGATTATATTATTTTAGTTCTGGGAGGATGAGGTGAACTGGATTTTCTGAGCCTGAATCTCGGAGTGATATCCGCATTTCTGGAGTTAAAAATGTTTCCCCCTTTGGCTGAAGGCTGTGCGAGCCTTCAGCCATTCTGGCCCCCGCCTTACCCCCTTCCTCGCTCCCTCCGTTCGAAACCTGCCTCAGATCCTTTCAGATTTCAAGATTTCCAGCTTTCCTGGGATGCTTTTCTAATGCTTCAGGACACTAACCCATGTGAAGGGTGCTATATCAATGCACGTTGTTGTTGTTGCTCTCTAGAACTTCCTCCCTTCCTTCCTTCCTTCCTTCCTTCAAAACCTGCCTCAAACTCCATTTATTCAACTGCGCTTTCAACCACAGACTTCCAGGCACACAACACGTTAGTGTGGGATTTGGCTACCGAGTGTTTGACTGCGGCTATTAAGTTGACAATACATTTTCAATCCCTAACTGCCTTCAGGGGGTTGGAAGCACTTTCAATGCAGAGGCGAGAGCAGCGCTTTGATTCTCGGCACAGAATTACAATCCAAGATAATTCTCTAACCTAATAAAAATGCACGAACACTGTTTGATTCAAGTGCTGTTCCCAGTTAAAAATAAATTGCGGTCATTATAAGCGACGAAATAGAAGCGTTGGCAACCTACTCTGCCAACCTTTTACTCTGCTCCTGTTGGCTGTGCTGGCCTTCAACCGTGCTGCACCCCCCCCCCCCCCACCTCTGGAACTCCATCCCACAGTCTCTGTGCCTCACCCCCTCCCTGCCTCCCTTTGTTCAAAATCTGCCTTAAAACCATTTCAGATTTCATTTCAGCTTTTCTGGTTTTAATTTTGCTTTTCTAGCATTTTTTTTTAATGCAAAAGAATTAACATGTGGTGGTGGGGGCGGGCGGGGGGGGGGGGGTGGTTGAGGTATGTGGGGAGGGGTGGGTGAGAGAGAAAACCCCAATGGTGTAATACGGGCTGGTCTAACCTTTTGGTTGTTGAGTAGCAGATGCCCTATTTGAGAAAGGTCAAAGGGGCCCATAAGCGATATTTAAGAGGCACAACGTATCATTTACGAGTTATGGAGGGAGCCAAGTGGGTGGGGTGGGGTGGGGTGGGTGGGGAGGTGGGGTGGGGGGTGGGAGGTGGGGTGGGGTTGCCTGGATGAAATCAACCAGTGGGGAGAAAGTTAGAAGTTATGGGATGCACTAAACAAAAATAGTAGGTTAACATGAAGGACTCTTCCCAGCCCCGATGAGGACTTTATTGCGTGAGAGAATGTGAGCTGCAGCCCTCCGGGTCTCTGAATGTCTGACTTACGCTCTGTAACCTTGTCTCTCCTGTTTGTTGATCCGTGCTTCCCCTCTGGGATCGAAGCGTTCGTTCCGTGACCATGGAGACCTCCCCTCTGGACCGGCAACTGCAGAGCGTCCAGAGAAACATCACCTTCTTAAAAGGAGAGCATGTAGACTTGCTTCATGGGCTACACATGGAGATCCTTCAACTGCAAAAACGCTGCACAGGTCAGTCAGTCAATTAGTCGGTCACACTCTTACTCCCTCCCTCCGCCTCGCTCCTTCCTTTCCCATCTTCAGATGGCGCCTGAACACCTTCCCCTTCGACTGTGCCTACGGTCACCTCCCCTCCCCACGACTTTCAATTCCTGGCTGTTTTGGGAGACAGAAATAGCACTGGCAAAATACGTCTTGCGGCCAACCGGAAGTCAATGCCCCTGTGAGTCTGTGTCTAAACCGCATTTAGCAGAGGGTTTGCTGCACGGAGATGGATACCCCAGATTCACACGTCCTACTTTAACGCACCTTCTGCTGTCAACGGGGCCCCGATTGTCTCCCAATTGTTTTCAGCCCAAATATGCAATGCCCCGCAGAGCGACACTCCGCGGTGGTCCGTGGCAGCAGTGGGCGGACGATAGAAACACACGACGTAGCTCGAAGAGGATGCATTCTGCACATCCGTGTGTCTGCGCGCGTTACGCCTGGAGGGGAATGTGTGGAGGTGGGGAGGAAGCATTCAGACCTAATCCACCCGGCGTCGTTTCAGACCACGCACAGTTGGACTTTGGTGGTGCCCTTCCTTCTCCCGGTCGTAACGATTTCACTCCCGACTGCAGTCGTGCCCCTCCTTTCGCCCGCGCACTTCAAGCGGGAAGCCCGTTTAAAAACAACACGAACATCACTTACACCAAACCACAACAAATTTCATTTATACAGCACCTGGTAAGGTTTCAGGATCTTAAACTCGATCTTTCAGTGGCAGCAGGGAACAGATAACCTTTTAGATCTTGCAAACGTTCTCTCTCTCTCTCCCCCCCCCACTCCCCGCCAGGCAGTGTTGTAAAGGCAGCCTGCCATCCAGTAATACTCCTGGACATTTATGATATTGCTTTCCATAAGCCCTTTCCAATGCCGTCGACAATCAGGTCAACAGCAGAATTGCTGAAGGAGATTCCCAGCCTCGCTGGGCTGGCAAAGACTGAGGGTCCTGACAATCACCGCACTTCTGCTCTCAGACGCTCAACCTCAGTAAATCACAATATATGATTAACCAGGGTAGAGGCGAAGCAAACTGGCTGCCACTTTCCCCTACAAAACGCAGTCACTCCACTTTACATAGGAACAGGAGTAGGCCATTCAACCCCTCGAGTCTGTTCCACCATTCTTTGGCTGATCTGTATCTCAGCTCCATTTACCCACCTTTGCCCCGTGCACCTTGATACCTTTACCTAACAAAAATCTATCGGCCTCGGACATGAAAATTTTAATTGATTATGCAATATGCAATAAATCCTGCGAAGCACTTTGAGACGTCCTCTCGATGTGAAAGGCGCCACTTACAAACATAAGGATTACTGTTGTTTGATACTGTGTTCGTTGTAGTTTTAACCCTGTTGCACTCTTTGCCTGGCTCAGTTGGTAGCACTCTTGCCTTGGAGTCAGAAGGTTCAAGCTCCAACCTCGGACTCGGAACTCACATAGTCCAGGCTGACGCTCCAGTGCCTTCTTAGGAGAGTGCTGCGCTGTTGGAGGTGCTGTACTTCGGATGAGACGTTTTAAATCGAGTCCCTCTCACCTGTTCAGGTGTCCGAAAAAGATTCCACGGCACTATTCGAAAAGCGAAGGGAGTTTCTTACAGCGTTCTGACCCACAGCCCTTCAGATATAATTGATCACTTGCTCCGTGGCTGTTTGTGGGGCACTGCTGTGCGCAAATTGGCTGCCACGTTCGCCCACAAAATACACGGTCACGACACTTCGCGGTAAAATCCTGCGAAGCGCTTTGAGACGCGATATCAAAATGCAAGGGTTATTATTTTTATTATTCACCACGGCCAAAACCGAAACCAAACCTGGTTTCCCGTTGATTTAGATCTCGCTCCGTCAAAATCCTGGTCCTCTCTTTAACATGTCTCTTTACCAACCTCACACGGGCCGTTATTACTGTTCGGTTCACAGCGCATCCACCATCATCAATCTGAAGTGCCTTTAACGATAAGGGAGACAGCGGCAGAACAAACAATGATGTTATTATGATCTCATCGAACCTCCCAACGCCTTATCCCAGCTAAAAAGATGTCATTACCGGGCACCAGGCCAAGAATACTCTCTGTCCAATTGGCCAGCCGTTAATCACTCATATCGATCGCTCAGCTTTCCAGCAGCGTCCTGTTGTTGAACACTGAAACCAGATTAACTGCTCACTGAAGCCTGAGTCCATTCCCAGGCAGCTGGCTTGCACAAATTTAAAGGTTGTTGTTCCAAACCCCCGTCCCCACCACCACCTCCCCACCCCACCACTGAAAACAGGGACAGCATCCCTGGTTCAACTTTACATCGTTAGATCTCAGCCAACACTGAGGGATATCTGAAATGTTAAACTATCGCAGGAGAACTTTAATAATAATAAACCTTGCATTTGATATAGCGCCTTATCACGCCTTCGAGACGTCTCAAAGCGCTTCACATGATACACTGTAAAGTGTAGTGACTATTTTTTGTGGATATAAAATATATAATAAATAATACTTATTTGGTCCTGTAGGGTAGTGGTTAGTGCATTCGCCTCGTCAAGCGAGAGGATCCAAGTCCAATTCCCAGACGAGGCAAAACCTTAGGAAAGTTTCCTTACTCCACTCGCATCTGTAAGTAGGAACTCGGATGTCAGTCGATTGGCAGATCGCTCTCCGGGGGTAATAAGCCCTCTCTGCCCCCCAAACAAATGTTGGTTCCCTCACTCCATGACTGTTAGTGGGATACTGTTGTGCAACATTGGCTGCCACATTTCGCCCACAAAATACACAGCAGTATATTCTGTGAAGCGCTTTTGAGAGTCTCAGCGATGTGATAAGGCGCTGTATCAAATGTAAGAATTATTAATATTATTATTACTTACTTATGCAGTTGCACCTTTCACAACAGGAGGACATCTCAAAGTGCTACACAAGATTTACTGTAAAGTGCAGTAACTGTATTTCACAGACGGGACACACACACGGTATATATAAGCCACCTCCCAATAAGCATAGCAAAAGCAAACACTGATTGCGTGTTTGACATTGAGGAGGAGAATCAGTAAAGAGAAAGCAGTCGGCCTCTCTTGGAGAAAGAGTGAAGTGTGATTAACAGCACACAGCCCCAGAAATATTTTCCCAAAAGTGCTCAGAGAGGCGAGGTGTAAAGAGACAGAATTCCGAACCCACTCCACCAGGCACGAGTTTCACAACAACCACGACAACAAAATTTACATTTGTATAGTGCCTTTCGCGTCGGGAGGACGTCCCAAGGCGCTGCCCTTCTGCCTCCGAAGAATTGTCCCTGAAGTGAGAGGCTGCGTCCTAACCAACACGATTATGAAAAGTGGCTATGTTTACAATCTGAGCACACAGGCACTAAATAATCTATAGTCTCCAGCAAAATATAATACTGGGCTTTCAAAGACACTGAATTCTCAAGGTAGAAATGAGGTCTAGTGTAACTTCAATACATGGCAGAAGGTCAGTCCATTGCCAGTAAGCTATTGACTGAAACTGAGTACGTACAGGAATACAGCTGACAGACTGAGATAATGCTGAACCGATGTGTTGGCAATGAACAGCATGCACTCTACTCTCACAAAGCTCCCAATGAGGAGATCTAGACGCACAAAGAGGCTCTATTGGAAGAGGGAACTGTGTCTTGGCCGAAGATGCTCCAGGTAAAAATCGGTCATTCGGCTGTTTGTGGGGCAAATTGGCCGCAAATGCACAGTCACCGCACTTTACGGGGATACTTTTACGAAGACGTTCACCATTATAGGCGCTGAATCAAAGACAAGGATTTTAATTAATGCAAGGCAGGGCTGTTAGGCCGAGTGCGTCCGGATTACAGTTGGCTCCGTGTTCGTGTATACCTGCTGATCATTGAACACAAACAAAAAAGTAACGCTACTAATAATAATCCTTGCATTTGATACGGCGCCCTTTCACGTCTTCGAGATGTCTCAAAGCGCTTCACAGGATACACTGTAAAGTGGATTGACCGTGTATTTGGTGGGCGAAAATCCCAAATGATTTCAAACTCCACCCCCCATCTCACCCCTACCACACTATGAGGAATCCAGTTGTCTGAGTCACTCTTGTATCTCCTGAACGTGTGATGCTAATTTTGCATTAAAGTCAGTGCAGTTCCCACACAACTGCAGGCACATAAGCCTCCCACACTCATCACCCTGATGCCTTGATTCACATCTCCGCAGGGGCTCTCACCATCACACAAACATCCAGCCTCCTGAGCCCAGGCCTCCACAAGCTCAAGCCTACCTGCCTTCCCTCCGCTCTCTCTTCAGGTGTTATAATAATATGATAATAATCCTTGAGAAGTACATAAAGAGCAGGGTGTGTGATAAATACCACAACGGGTGAAGGAACCAATAGCCCGAACACAATGGATGAATAATCTAATAGAAAGAGAAAGGAAAAGGCCAAAAAAAATCCCTCACTACATTTATGTTCTGGAATGACATGTTGCTGTAGTGATATGGCTGTAGAACGTGGTTGAATACAGTCACTTGGCTTACGCAAGGGTCAGAAAGGGACAATAAGATGCCCAAAGAGATAGACTTCAAATATATTATGTTTGCCGGCAGTAGAGAGAGAGGAGGGGGTGAGTGTGTCAGCTTGGCTAAGTTGCTTGCGCTCCTGCCTCAGGTCAGAAGATTGTGGGTTCAGTCTTGGGATATAATGGGAACTTTGAGCTTACTGTCTAGGCTAACACTCCAGCCCAGTGTTCGGAGGAGTTGCGAGGGTGGTTGGGTAGTGCTGTATCATCAGAAGTGCAGTCTTTGGGTTGAGATACTAATCGGCCTGTTCAGGTGGACGTTAAAGATCCAGGACGTTAAAGGCGCTAATCTGATACACAAGTGGGGGTTTCTTCCAGTATCCTGGCCAACAATCCCCCAGATAAATCAATGATTCAGTTTGTGGAACATTGCTGTGTGCAAATTGGCTTCCACGTTCGCCTATAGACACA